GAATGTAGTTGGGTGGTCAGGATTTACTTGAGTGTGGCGGCACAGGTCAAGAATCAAGTTTGCAGGACCACTACATGATCTTTGGTTCCTGCAATCAAAGAGTTCTACTGAATGGAGGTTAGAACTACAGATGATGCTGCCCTTGACTGTGTGTGTGTTGTGAATGGCAGAATAGGTCCATGTATTGATGACGATGTCTGGGATTTGTGTCTGTATGTAGCATCCCACAAAAAAAAAAATTGGATTTTTTTTTTCTACATACTTACCTGTAAAATTCATCTCTTGGAGTACATCATGGGACACAGGGATCCCTCCCCCCTTTTTTGGAATATAATTGCTTGCTACAAAGTACTTCCTGTGTAGGAGGGCTATATAGTAGTGGTTTGATTGATCTGCCAGTGTCCATTCACCTATAGGCATATAATCCACATACTGTAGTCAGGAATAGCCTGCTCTGTGTCCTGTGATGTCCAATTTTTTCCAATTCTCACTGCAGCAGTAGATTGCTAGGAAACATACAGCATACTGCTGCAGCTATAGGGCCAGCTTTGACTTTACACGCTCTGTATTTGCCAATTGGCACAATATCTTTATTATAGTTTGCCATTTTAGCACTAGATCTCCATGACCCTCTTCACTTAACCCCTTCTGCTACTTGTAACCACACTATTTACCTCTGGGTCTTGGACTTTCCTGTCTCCAGGAGCCACTTTATTGTCCCCATCAATACCAGTTCCATGAGCAACAAGCTCTTCTCCCAGTTGTCCATGCTTGTTGGTAATGCAAGATGTACTTCCTGTTTGGTAGCACTGCACAGTAATTGCTTTTTAATGTTCTCTCTACTAGTAATAATTTGAACTAGCTGCAATACACTTACTCTTTGAATGAATCATGAGAGAGCCATGGCTATAAGCTTAAGCGTACCTGTTGGGTGCAGGTCTTGGAGCCTGTCCATGCTCTGTGAGAGTACACTGACAATGAAACAAAGGACGCATACCAATGATGTCACTCTGCTCTGCACATGATGAATGTCGGACGAATGATTGTCTCATATTGAAAATTAATAGGTTACTAAATTTACAAAGTACAACTTCCCGCAATAATATAATGTATTGTATTGTATTGTAATTTATTCTTTAATTTCCGAGTATGCACGGTCTTTATCACACGACTTTTTTTTTTTCTTTACAAATACTATACTTACACCAAAATCGTTTGTTCTGTTATTTTATGAGAAAAATTTCCATGCTTGTCCCTACAGATATTTACACATGAACTGTTATGATCGGCTCTTGAAAGTGGTGTAGTAACGAATAGATTTTCGGACAATGGCTTTGAATGTGTTTTTTTTGTCCCATATTATAGGCATAAGCCTGTAAGGATAAAACAGGTTAGACAGTAGAAGTCTCGAGACGGGGACACATTGTAAAGCTTCAATGGCTGAATAAACTTTACTGAACAGGATGCCATCGTCGATGTGCAACCTTTCCTTGTCAGTGTACACTTCCTCTTTGGCTGAGATCTTGAGACTGATTTATTACAAATGTTTAATAGGGATTTTAGGAGGATCTTTGCTGTCTCACATGTTTATCTCCATTTCAGCTATTTTGGATATATAGTAGCTGTTGTAGATGCATGATTGACATTTAACTAACATGTAGGAATATTGCTATGCCATCATTTTATGATTTACATAATATCAAGGGGAATTTCCAGAAGCATAAAGAAGATGCCAGCCTTATCTTGTGAAACATTTGGTAGACATGGCTGGCATGTGCAATTTTGTAACTAATGGAATGTAGCACTGCCCTCTTGAGGGCTGCTGAGTTGTTTTTGGGTTCCCTGTATTCTTGAGCTTGCTTTGGAAGCCCAACCCATGCTGACACCAAACCTTTGGCTGCAAGAACCCTCTGGCATTGTTACCATAAAATAGACTCACACACAGGTTAGAGTGAACTTAAACTTTGATTATTTTTGAGTTCAAATGGTTAGCACAATAACATTTAGCACAATAGGCTGACAAGAAGGTATGTGAAAGAGAATTACAGTTAACACTTTTAATAAACTCAAACAAATGGTTGCAACATACCACTCTCAAATCAGTTATTTTGTATGTCCTGCAATTCAGAATTCAAACAGTACCCTCAGTCTTGAGATGATTTCTCCCAAGTGAGCAGAAAGAGAAGCAATCAAATTGATGGATTAGCAAATAAAAATGATGGCTGGGTTCAACTCTAAAAGAGGAAGAGCTCTGTAAAAGGATGGATCAATGTCCTTTTAAACTGCAATGTTCAATCTTTTGCATGCTTGATGGGGCCCTGGTTGGTGCACATAAATATTCAAATCCCTCTTGATGGAAGGGCAGGAGTTCTCCAAGGAAGGTGAACATAAAGTAAGAGAAGCTGCTCCCTTAAGTGAGAATTAGGCTGGGATTGAGAAAAGAGGGGGGGGGGCAGAACACAGTACGGTAGTAGAATGGGAAGGTTCTCTGGTAAGTGGTGTAAACTAAGTCCGAGGCACCAAGGCAGCTTGACCCAGGGTGCAGATATTGCAGTAGGCTCTTGTGATTTAGTATGTTGAGAGTGTGTAATGATTAGTACACTGCAAGGCAAGATGGGCCAAACAATATAGGATGTAACACTTGTAACTTGTAGAATGGAAAATACTAAGCTGAGAAAAGACTAATTAAGTTCAGCAATGTCTCTTGTAACTTAGGTAATTTGGGGTATGGAGCTCTCTTATCTGAATCATGTCAGGTCAGGTGGTAGATAGTCTCTCTGCAAATGGGGACCCCCCTGTGTCCTCTAGAATCCTTGGACACCGATAACTCAGATGACAGCACTCCTGTCTGCCCAATCAGTAGGTTGCCAGTCCAGCTTGCCAGCAGTCAGTGGTCTCCAGCTCTTCCTCCCTCCACTCTCGTTTTCTGCGGTTCTGGCCCAGCCCGTACCTCCAGCATCCTGCACAGTTTTCCTCTCCAGCTCACACTGTCCACTTCCCCCTCTAATTCCCAGGCTTTGGTATTTATCTGCTCCCACCCATAAGCCAGCTCCTCTAGGAAATGTAGTTTTTCAGCAAAGTCCTGCTAACAGCCAACATATCCCACAAAGCTTTTCTTTGGCAGAGTCTAACTGAAATGCAGAACGCTGCCATCTTGTGTAGATTTAACATTTTGCACCCAATATTTCTGCAGGGTGTTACAGGAATATTAGTTTATAACTGGCTAACAAGGATTATATAACTACCTGTAATGGCCAATAATATGTGGCTTGTTGGTTATCTTGATTGCAGAGTACTTAAAAACTACACAAGAATAAGCATTGGCTGGTTGTCTGTTGCCACCTGGCCACCTTGCACGTCTGATCAGTGTGTGTAATAAACTTTTATCTAATTTGGACATATTCGAAGACTGCTGGCTGTTTCTTTTGGGACAAAACCCTTTTCAGAGTTGAGAATATTCACAGCATAAATTGGGATTATTATTTCAATAATACAATCACATGAAAAGCAAATTTCTTTTTACTTATTTCATCTGCATAATTGGATAACTGAGGTATATATGTATTTATACACTGTAATATCTGAGCATTCTCAACAGTCAAGCCATTTATGTCAGCATTTGTAGCTAAGGAAGCCTGACTAGTGGAAACATAGATATCCATTATAGAGAGAAGTACAAATGCATTTGTACTTTGTACAAATGTACTTTGTACAAGAAAGTACAAGTGCATATGCTTGTATAAAATAATGATTTTTTTTTGGTAATAGCAAATATTATTTTAAATCAAATATTACAACAATAATTCAATAAAATTAACACATTTTTGTTAGAGTTCCAACCGCCCCTGTTGTAAACATTGCTGACACATGCACTTCATAATAATTTGTATTCAACTAAAAACTTCCTATACGGACGGTTCCCTTATGGGTTTTTATAGAAGCAGAGTTAATTTACAATGACAACAAAGAATATGTTCTGTTTGGATGTATTAAGTTGATGTATGAAAAAAAAACACAGATATGAGTAATTTGTTTACTTACTGCATCTCCAGGAAGTCCAGGTTCCCCTGATTCACCCTGTTGCAAGAAAGAAGATAATAAAAGTCATTAGTGGGTAATGCAGGGGTCATCCTCTTCTGTCCTGTTAGCCCTAGTTTACACTGATGTGGTGCGCAATTCGCAGTGTTTTCTGTGCGAATTCTGCACTGCATCAGTATCGCCCCCCGTTCATGCGAACCGCTGCGGGTGTGTATGTTAAATTAACAATACCCCGAAAGTGGTCCACAAAACACGGTGCGATGTGCAGAATCGGATCGCATAGGTGTGAATACCCATGTGATACGATTCTAGTGCGGACCAAAAAAACGGTCCTGCACCTTTTTTTGTGCAGGTGCAGTTAGAGCCATACAAAATGTATGGCTCCAATCGAACCGCACACAAATCGCATCTGATGTGCACAGGAATGCAGTGCGGTTCCTGTGTGAATCACATGCGATATACCACACTGCATATATGTGAACCCAGGCTGAAGTCTCTGGGATAGGAAATGAAAGGAAATCTCCTCGAGACACAGACAAAACAAAAAACCAAACCAAAATAAAACTGACAATAGTTTTAACACTTCAGTACTTTATATATATACACCGTATTTTTCACTCCATAAGACGCACCTGACCATAAGCCGCGCCTAGGTTTTAGAGGTGAAAAACAAGAAAAAAAATATTCTGAACCAATGGACTGCAAACATAGTGCAGAAAATGACCAGAGACTGCAGACACAGTACAGGAGATGACCAGAGACTGCAGACACAGTACAGGAGATGACCAGAGACTGCAGACACAGAACAGGAGATGACCAGAGACTGCGGACACAGTACAGGAGATGAACAGAGACTGCGGACATAGTACAGGAGATAACCAGAGACTGCGGACACAGTACAGGAGATGACCAGAGACTGCAGACATAGTACAAGGGATGACCAGAGACTGCGGACACAGTACAGTAGATGACCAGAGACTGCGGACACAGTACAGGAGATGACCAGAGACTGCGGACATAGTACAGGAGATGAACAGAGACTGCGGACATAGTACAGGAGATGACCAGAGACTGCGGACATAGTACAGGAGATGACCAGAGACTGCAGACATAGAACAGGAGATGACCAGAGACTGCGGACACAGTACAGGAGATGAACAGAGACTGCGGACACAGTACAGGAGATGACCAGAGACTGCAAACAGTACAGGAGATGACCAGAGACTGCAGACACAGTACAGGAGATGACCAGAGACTGCAGACATAGAACAGGCGATGACCAGAGACTGCAGACATAGAACAGGAGATGACCAGAGACTGCGGACATAGTACAGGAGATGACCAGAGACTGTGGACATAGTACAGGAGATGACCAGAGACTGCGGACACAGTACAGGAGATGACCAGAGACTGCGGACACAGTACAGGAGATGACCAGAGACTGCAGACATAGTACCGGAGATGACCAGAGACTGCAGACATAGTACAGAAGATGACCAGAGACTGCGGACACAGTACAGGAGATGACCAGAGACTGCGGACATAATACAGAAGGACTGTACAGTGCTGGACTGAAGAACAGGTAAGATCCTACTGTAGAGAAAAGCTGAGCGACCAGCTCTGTATTCTAACATGGCGGCGGCAGCGGAAATACCGGACCGGCCAGCCCGGTATTCCAATACGGCGGCGGCAGCGAAAATACCAGACCGGCCGTTCCATATTCTCACAATAAGACGCACTGACATTTTCCCCCCTTTTTTTGGGGGAAAAAAGTGCGTCTTTTGGAGCAAAAAATACGGTATATATACTGTATATATACCAAAATTTTGGTCAAATCAAATCCTTTCAGTTAAGTTTGTGCAACACACTTTAATGAATCAGTAATTGCAGAAATACCTTTGCATACTGTTTAACACATATATATATTAGATATTTACAACATATTTATATTAGATTTACTAGCTTAGAATTGATGGAATACAGTGTTCATGGATTTTGTGCAACAACTACCAACTATATTAGTATTCAGTAGAGATATATTATTATTATACGGTATTTATATAGCGCCAACAGTTTGCTCAGCGCTGTACACTACAATGGGAGACAGTACACGAGACAGTACAGTAACAATACAATTCGATACATGAGGGGTTCGAGGGCCCTGCTCCTTGGAGCTTACAATCTAGGAGGGAGGGGATAGTGGTACAGGAGGAGATAGCTGTGGGGGATGGAGTGGTAGGAAGAGTGGAGGAGATCGGCAATTAGCTGAGGGCGGGGTAGGCTTCCCTGAAGAGATGGGTCTTCAGGGTGCGTCTAAAGGAGAGGAGGGTAGGTGATAGTCTGATGGATTGGGGGTAGGGCGTTCCCGAGGATGGGGAAGCCCTGGAGAAGTCCTGGAGATGGGCATGGGAGGTCTTTTGAGGAGCGGAGAGTACGTTTAGGGTGGTATTTGGATATCAGGTCGGTGATGTAGTTTGGGGCAGTGTTATGAACAGCTTTGTAAGTCAAAGTTAGCATTTTGAATTTGATCCGTTGGGCAATCGGAAGCCAGTGGAGGGATTGGCAGAGGGGGGTGGCGGATACGGAGAGATATATTCTTCAACCAGTAGACAGCAATGTTTATAAATTTGTAACTGCATCTATAGTATACTCTATGTATTTTTTCTGAATACAGTTTTCCTGTTTCCTTGTTGCAGTGAAGCAGAAAAGCACATGTGGACTGTGCACTGTCTGTTCTCTGGGCTATATACAGAATTTTTAAAATGAATTCATACACAAGCATAAATATTGCTAGTTGCTGCTTTGTTTTAAAATGTTTGCTGTGCCCTAGACTTTACATTGACCATAGATTCCCTGTGTATTCATACAGATTCCGTAACCTATGGGGTCTAATACCTAACCGCTTTGTCTTATGATACATGTATGGCAAAAAGAACCATTTTTTTCACTGAGAGGAGAAGACTGAACACTACAACCAATGTAATGCTCTCAGTCTCTGTAGAAACCCTTATCTACCTTTCACTACATACATTTCTAGAATTATGCAGCACACCACAGCTGAAAGAGTACAGGTGAAACTCGAAAAATTTAGAATATCGTGCAAAAGTTCATTTATTTCAGTAATGCAACTTAAAAGGTGAAACTAATATATGAGATAGACTCATTACATGCAAAGCAAGATAGTTCAAGCCGTGATTTGTCATAATTGTGATGGTTATGGCTTACAGCTCATGAAAACCCCAAATCCACAATCTCAGAAAATTAGAATATTGTGAAAAGGTGCAATATTCTAGGCTCAAAGTGTCCCACTCTAATCAGCTAATTAAGCCATAACACCTGCAAAGGGTTCCTGAGCCTTTAAATGGTCTCTCAGTCTGGTTCAGTAGGAATCACAATCATGGGAAAGACTGCTGACCTGACAGTTGTGCAGAAAACCATCATTGACACCCTTCATAAGGAGGGAAAGCCTCAAAAGGTAATTGCAAAAGAAGTTGGATGTTCCCAAAGTGCTGTATCAAAGCACATTAATAGAAAGTTATGTGGAAGGGAAAAGTGTGGAATAAAAAGGTGCACAAGCAGCAGGGATGACCGCAGCCTGGAGAGGATTGTCAGGAAAAGGCCATTAAAAAGTGTTGGGGACTTTCACAAAGACTGAGGCTGGAGTCAGTGCATCAAGAGCCACCACACACAGACAGATCTTGGACATGGGCTTCAAATGTTGTATTCCTCTTGTCAAGGCGCTCCTGAACAACAAACGTCAGAAGCGTCTTACCTGGGCTAAAGAAAAACAGACCTGGTCTGTTGCTCAGTGGTCCAAAGTCCTCTTTTCTGATGAGTGCAACTTTTGCATCTCATTTGGAAACCAAGGACCCAGAGTATGAAGGAAGAATGGAGAGGCACACACTGCAAGATGCATGAAGTCCAGTGTGAAGTTTTCACAGTCTGTGTTGATTTGGGGAGCCATGTCATCTGCTGGTGTTGGTCCACTGTGCTTCATTAAGTCCAGGGTCAACGCAGCCGTCTACCAGGAGATTTTGGAGCACTTCATGCTTTCTTCCGCAGACGAGCTTTATGGGGATGCTGACTTCATTTTCCAGCAGGTCTTGGCACCTGCCCACACTGCCAAAAGCACCAAAACCTGGTTCAATGACCGTGGGATTACTGTGATTGATTGGCCAGTAAACTCGACTGACCTGAACCCCATAGAGAATCTATTGGGCATTGCCAAGAGAAATATGAGAGACATGAGACCGAACAATGCAGAAGAGCTGAAGGCCGCTATTGAAGCATCCTGGTCTTCCATAACACCTCAGCAGTGCCACAGGCTGATAGCTTCCATGCCACGCCGCATTGAGGCAGTAATTGCTGCAAAAGGGACCCAAACCAAGTACTGAGTACATATGCATGCTTATACTTTTCAGAGGTTCGATATTGTTCTATGTACAATCCTTGTTTTATTGATTGCATGTAATATTCTAATTTTCTGAGATTGTGGATTTGGGGTTTTCATGAGCTGTAAGCTATAATCATCACAATTATGACAAATCATGGCTTGAACTATCTTGCTTTGCATGTAATGAGTCTATCTCGTATATTAGTTTCACCTTTTAAGTTGCATTACTGAAATAAGTGAACTTTTGCACGATATTCTAATCTTTCAAGTTTCACCTGTAATACGAGTATAACCACTGCAGTCTAAGAACAATGAGAATGCTTACTGATATTGTGATATGGGGTGATTAGACTCAGAGGTAGTGGGCATTTTTAAGTGATATCACGCCAGTCCAGACTGAGTTTTTAAAGGCTTGGCAGCTCACTTTTATTGAAAAAGGCAAAGCAAAGTTCACACAGCTGTAAAGTTTACTGAGAGAATCGGAAATTGAAAAATGCCATCCCATCTGGCTACATTTTAGCAGCACTGCTCCTAGCACTGGTCTCCCAGACCATAGGTTCTTAAGGCTCACTTGTAACAGCACCTTGCTTTACGGGGTTACTCTTGGCCTCCTGATAGGGTTCTCCCAGAAGATCTCACACACTTCTCAGGAGCTCAGACTCCCTCCAGCCCCTATGGACTCACTAGTCACTTCAGCTTAACTAGTCTCTCCAAATCCAAGTAGTTGTCCTGACTTTCCCAGTCCTATGGGCAAGATATCCCCCAAACATGGGGTCTTGTCTTCCGAGCAAGTCACCCCTCCTGGCTGGAGCACACCACTATCTTCACACATAAATTGTGTCTTTGAACGGCAGCAACTGCCCTGAGCTACTCTTGGACTTGTTTAAAAATGACCCTGCACACCAGTGTACTCACACAGGCTGCAGGCATCCAGCAAAACCTGGACACAGAATTGAAGGTTCCATCCCACCCAAGACATTTTGGAACCCTCAAGCTCCATGCCCCAATCCAGGACTACCAAACCCAGAGAAAACTTAAAGCACAGCTTTCTCCACTCATGACAAACACTCTGGAGCTTTGCATTAAGCCTTAATGTGAATCCTGTGTGATTTCTACTTTCTTTACGTAATCTTACGTTGTGGCAATATAAATAGCAATATAAATACAATATGAATACAATATATAAATAGCAGATGCTAGAATGCATGTGTTAGCCTATGGCATATGTAGCAAAATGTTTGTAAGGATCCTTCTGAACTCTTGAGCATTGATAATATTTCTGAAGTCCATTGTATTACTAAACGCTGGTTTATTTAGATATGCTTAGGAGTCTGTTTTTGTGTTTCATTGAATATAAACATATCTTCAATTGCTGTGACAAAATTAACTTTTTACATATTTACATGTAGTTTTCAGTAGTAACATTTTTTATCTCAATTCACAAAGACAGTTATTTCATTACTATGCATTATTTGCTTTTTTTCAACAGAAAAGGGATTGTTTAAATTCACCAAGGTCATTACTGCTTTGATCAATTTAATATACTCCACATATGTTATATTTGCCACACATGTGTTGTTTGTGTGATTTTGTTTTTACTGTGAAAGTCAATTTATAAAGATTAAGGCATGAGTTATTGCTTTATGGGTTCAATTTACTGGGACTGATGATTTGTTTTAACTACATTCTTCATATAGATTTCAAATGTTAAATGTCTATTTCCTGAAACAAATAACAATTACACATGTAAGCAAAATCTTTATCGGCAAGCTAAACATTTTAGGAGAAAATTACCATGAGATGTTATAATTAATGGAGTTTTAATGTTTACATCTTAGTGGATTTAGCCTTTTAATGTGTATAACAATTATGTTGAGTGACAAAGTTTTTGCTTATTTAGCAGTCTTTGGTTCTTATTCATTGATATAACAATAAAAAGGGCCTAATTTTTTTTGACCACTGTAAAAAAAACTCTCTACCTTTTGTCCTACAGGGCCACGTGCTCCAAATAGTCCCATAGATCCTTTGGAGCCTGCTTCACCTTTCACACCCTAAAAATCAATGAAAAGAATAGGATGAAAATTATTTAAACTCATGAGAAATTTATCAATCAGCAAAATAAAGAATATTGTTAAAATAACGCATGTATCTAGCTACAATTTTGGCAAGTAAGGATGAGTCAGACTGCCCTGGGTTTGGTTCATGCAGGGTTCGGGACACTTCAAAGTTCGGATGCCGAAACCCAACCACATGGAAATCAGTGGGAACCGAATATGTTAACTTAAAAATGCCCACTTTCTGTGCTAATAGGCA